GAGAGAAAAAGTGTTGTTGGGTTTCATTTCATGCGAGGAGAGAGATTTTTGACCGATACAAACGTTCCGTTACAGGAGATGAGTTGTGTATGTACTCCTTTCTCTGTCAAAGGACGTTGTTGTCTGCTTGTAATCCCTACCGTCGGTGAGAGATTTGAAAAAAAATTATAAAGGAAGAAAAAAAAAATGAAATATAAATAAATATTTCATATAATTTTACATATTTTTTTTTCTTCTCAAATTTTTTTAAATCTCTCAATCAAATACAGTGTTGCTACAACGGCAAGCCAGCATGGTACACTATGAGATATTTTGAAAAGATAGTTAAAAGTTGATTTTTTAATTTTTTTTTAAAAAAAATGTAAAAAATATAAAAAAAATAATGTGATTCAAAATAAATTAAAAATTAATTTTTAATTTTTAACTGCGTTGTCAAATCGGCCGTTTCTGCACCCAAAAAATTTGATACCTCTCTTTGAGAACGAGAGTTGGGAGTATGGGTGGCCTTGTGGTAAGAACATGGGGATTAAGCCCTCAGGTTATGAGTTCAAATCCCCCATGGGTCAATTTTCTGGGCGTAGCACAGTTGTTAAGAGGTTGGATCTCAAGTTGTCTAACCAGCACTTGGTGTGAGTTCAATGCTCCCCCGCTATGCGAGTCTTGACTTAAGCGGAGCTTTTCTTGGGAGGTTGGGGCAAGTTCCCAAGTTATAATCTCCTCACTCGGAACGGCTAACAAGACACCTTGGTGATCTCTACAAAGAGGCTCTGCCTTAGACCCGCAGAAGAGTAGAGAGGATTTTTCTGTAAAAAAATAAAAAAATAAAAAAATAAATAAAAAATAAAGGACGGACTTGAAGTGTTCCCAGGTACGACCCGTTACCCTTAAACTTGGTTGCATTCAACTCCGGGTATGGTTATGGGTATGGTATGGGTGTGGCGTGGTGTATGTTTCGTTTGGTTTGATTGTTAGAATCAGTTTTTTGAAAAATACCCATCATTTCTACATGGTTTTGTCCTTTTGAAGGTAGATATAATTTTAAAAAATTAAAAAATTTGTTTGAATTTATTTTTGTAAAATTAATTTTTATTTTTCAAAAAATGATAGAAAATAGATTTGAAAAATGAAGCTGAAGATCTTGTACGGTTTGATTTTTTTAAAATATTTTGTAGTCAGATTTTTTTTTTGATGATTTTTAAAAAATATTTTAATCTATGTGTTGTACTTATGTTAAAAAAAAAAAAAAAAGGGAAAATATTGTCCACTGGGACAGAAGAAAAAAAAATTACAGAAACATGGAACTTGCACCTGTATTTGTTAGTTATATATATTTATTCACTATGCATATGAAAATTATACCAACATCCGACAAACAATAAAAAAGAATGAAAATTAACTTATTCGACATAAAAAGCCCACTTAATCTATAATTTAAACATCATTCAACATACAAACTTATTATTTTGTCAATCATAAATGATTACATTACAAATATCAAAAGCATTTAGTTTAATCATGAATAGATTAATACTAATAATAATAAAAACAAAATCCTAGTAGAGTATTTCTATGTTGTGTCCAAAGGCATGACACACATATCTCCAGTGGTGAGTGGTGGAGGCAGAAATTTAATATAGGAGGGCACCTATTAATTATAATCTCAAAATTTTTTCCTCTCCAATTAATAACAATAACAGAATAATAATTTTTTGAGCTAATATTAAACATTAAAAATTAATATTCATTGATCAGATTGTTTGAAAAAAATAGTTTGAATATATTGATTTTGGTTTAACAAGTGTTGACATTTACTCAAAGCTTGATTATGAGCACTATTGGAACCTCCAACATGAGTCTGAATTTTTTTCTTTTTTCTTCCAATTTGAGAAACCTTCACCAACAAAAGAATCACCATCAGCTTGATCTCCAATATCGGGTTTGAAAAGATAACAACATAAACAAAATGCTACATTTTTTGTTACGCTATACTCCAACCAATTAGGAAATTCACTAAACGAAGCCTGATTAAATCGCTGAAATTTTTGTCCAAATGATTTTTGTGGAAAATTATGATTACGAGGTTGACAAGGACCTTTTTGTAGATATGCCGTACGAATTTGGTCTCGATCATTAGTATTATAGTCCATAATCTGAGGTCGTAGTCCTAGATCTGCAGGAAGGTCTACTAAGTTGATTCATATGCGCCTTTGTTTTACAGAAGAATAATTATAATCTTCTTCTTGATGAAGAGATGATTGCAACTTTGATTTTTTTTTTAAATATTTCTCCATGGCTGTTTTAAAAAATAAATATAAAAATAAAAATTCATAATCAAAATCAAAAATCCCCACAAATCAAAATCTCCAATTTTAATACAAATCAAAAAATTTAAATTTAGCACAAATCACAACAAATAAAATTTCTAACATACCAATATTATAACAAATGAAAGTCCCTAATTAAAATAAAAAATTCTAGAAATTAATATTTTTAATTGTAGCACAAATCAAATCTCTAATTTTAGCACAAACAACAACAAACCAAAATCCCTACTTTTAATATAAATCACTACCAATTAAGATTCATAATTTTAACATATCAAAATCTCTTATTTTAACATAAATAATAACAAATCAAATTTTTTTACAAATCAAAACTTAACAAATAACTATAAATTGATATTCATAATTTTTATTTAAAAATAAAAAATCATAAATAAATTTACCTGTAAATAATGAAGATAAAATATCAAGGTTGTAATGTGATCCCAATTTTGTATTGTGTAATCCTGATCGGGTGAATCGCGAGTTGATAAATTGTAAAATAACAAAAGGAGAGAGAAAAAAAAAAAAAAAAACTCTTTTTTCATGAATTAAAAAAAATTTAATTGGATTGAAGGTGTGTTTGGAAATTGGGTGGCGTGTGTCAGTAGGTGCCAAAGTGGGTGCCAAAAGTGGGCTGCTGTATGTATATAAAGCACTGCATGTAAGAGAAAAAAAAAATTCATTCCAGGGAAAAGAAGGCAAGCAACAAGATCTAGATTTGGTTTTGTTAAGTTCAATTGTGAAGTGGCTGCAGACATAGCGATCCAGAAGGCAGATGGTCTGTGGTGTGATAATAGGGCTTTGATGGTGAAAAGAGCAGAGTATCAAAAGTCCCAAAGTTTTGTTCCAATGGCACAGAGGGGGCTACCCTGGGGCGAAGCTGGGAGGAGGATTCAACAGTGGATTCAATTGCAGCAGAGGCAGTATCAAGGAGGAAAGAGGACATATGCTGAGGCACTAGTAAGTGGAGGAGCAAGTGAAGGGGAGAAGGTGGTGATCAAGACTTAAGAGAAAGGAAATAGGTGGAGGTACGAAAGCTTAGTTGTGAAATTGTGTAGTTTTCTAGCTTTCAAGGATTGTAGAGCAGAGTTATACAAAAAGAGGATGAAGGATGTGGTTGCAAGGGAGTGTGGAGGCAGATTAGTGCCGCTAACTTTCAGCTCAGCTCAACAGATGAAGGAAGGGAAGGCTAAGTTGGGTGCATGGAGTCAGGAGTGGTGTGACTCAGTTGAAGAATGGGGGGAAGGTCAATTCGTAGAACAGGAGAGGTGTGTTTGGCTATGTTGCAGCATTCCAATCAATCTCTAAAGTGTAACTACCTTTTGCAGTATAGCTAGTCATTGGGGGCTGGTGGTCCAACTTGAAAAGGACGTTAATAATCCTCAAACCTTTCAGCAAGGCAGAGTCCGAGTACTTACGAGGTGTATGGAGATGATCAACACAATTGTTTACTTGGAATGTAAAGGCACTCTTAATCCTGTGAGGGTCTGCGAGGAATTACCAAGTTGTTTATGTCCTAGTTCAAGTTCTAGTAGGGGAAAAGACCTTGTTCTACTTCAATCCAAAGATAAAGAAAATGTGGATCGGCTACCTGGCAACGAAGGTTGTATGAGAAGTGCCCAGCAAGCTTCTTTAGCAAGGGAGGAGGTCATGAGGGAAAGCTCTGATGAGGTGAGTAGGGTGTTGAAGACAGAGCCAAACAACCAGATGTGTTGAGTAGGGGTGATGATGGTTAGTATGTAGCAGCCGAAGTTGATCTACAGGAAGGCATAGGGAGTGGTTGCATAGGTTCATGCTCCAATGAGAAAGGTATGGTTCAAGCAATCAACTCACAACAAAAAATAATGAACACTATTCAAATTCCAAATGGGGCTATAGGCTCTTCTGGGCTTTCTACAGAGTGGTGTGGGCTAGATGGGGGAAGATCCAATATTAATCTTGAAGTATTACTAGAGGGGGTGCAGGTTGGGCCTATGCCCAGTGGATCAAATAAAAGGGAGAGGTTGAAATTGGGTGATAGTGTGGCCCAGCCTAAACTCAGGTCCAATTTGGTTCAGTCCATACAGAATAATTTGGGAAAGTATGCTGGTGTAAGCAGAAAAGGCAAGGAAGTTGAAGATCAGAAATCATATACCACTAGGAAAAAAGGCTTTGTTTCGAGGAGGGCCAGCAGGCTAGCTGGTGGCATCAACAAACGAAGGCGGTGTAGTCGGCAACCTTGGCTTCCAAAGAGGTGCCATTTTTAGAGTCATAGCAGCAGCAGTAGCTTTCTCCTTGTCATCCTCTCAAAGTCACTCGAGAATTAGAAGGAGAAATTTAATTGAAGAGGCACAGTCAACTCTGAAGGTGAGAGCAGTTCTAGGGCTGCAGTACCAAGGTCGAAAGGAAAAGGTTGTGAGCAAAATAATGGAGTTAGAGGAGAATGACTTGGAAAGACTTGCAGGTGCAATAGGGGCAAACAGAAGCTAGCTATTACAATTTGGGGAAATAGGGGTGTTAAGTTAGTTTAATCATGCAAATTTTATCTTCGAATGTTAGACGGCTGAGAAGGTTAAAAAAAAGGGGAAAATCAAGCAACTGGTGAGGGAAAGGAGTGTGGATGTATTATTACTACAAGAATAAAAAATAAGTTATATAGATGTTAGTTTTGTGAAAACCATATGACCTTATGAAGAGATGGATTTTCTGGGAGTGGATTCAGATGGTAGTGCATGTGGACTTTTATGCATTTGGAGGCCAGAAGTCTTTAAGCTTAGAGATTGTTGTTGTAGTAAGAATTTTATTCTTCTATTAGGTGCATCTTGTCTTTCTTTTGAGTGTGTCATAGTCAATATTTATGCCCCAAATGAGATTGTGGGTAGAAGAAAGTTATGGGAGGTTTTGGTAAATGTACACCCTCATTATCCAAATCCTTGGTGTGTGGGGAGGGGGGACTTCAATGAAATTAGATTCATCAATGAGAGGAGAGGGTGTTCTAGAAGGGAGAGGGGGATGCAGGATTTTAATGACCTTATTGTCAAATTGGAATTAACAAATCAGCCTTTGTTAAGTAAACAATTCACCTGGTGTAATGCATTGGATGAGGAAAGATGGAGCAAGATAGATAGATTCCTGTTGGATTCTAGGTGGCTAGAAAAGTTCTCCTTTAAGCGATGGGGTTTACTTAGACCTTTATCAGATCACTGTCCTATTTTGTTGAAGGAGGATGAAAGGGATTGGGGTCCCAAACCCTTCAAGTTCTTAAATCCTTGGCTTTCACATCCTACCTTTATGCCTGGAGTTAAACAAATTTGGGAAAACAATCAGGTGTCAAAATGGGCTAGGTTTAAACTCATGAGGAAACTGAATGATTTAAGATCTCATTTAAGTGTGTGGAACAAGGCGGTGTTTGGCAATATTGATTCTCTTCTCAAGTCAGCTGAAGAGGAGTTGCATGATTGGGATCTGAAGGCAGAGTCGGGGTCTCTAGATGATGAAGCTATTAGAAGAAGAAGAGAAGCTAGAAGTTTGGTATGGAAATTAAGCAGAGATAAAGAGAGGTTATGGCATCAAAAGTCCATAATGCTTTGGGCTCAAAATGGTGATAAAAGCACTAGGTTTTTCCACATTATGGCTAGCAGGAGACAGAGCAAGAACTTGCTAGATTCAGTTTGTGTGGAGGGGGTGTGCTTTGAGGACCCTGCTCAAATTAAACAGGCTGTGGTTAGGCATTTTAGAAAGCAGTTTATGGAGAATTAGTCTATGAGGCCAAAGCTTTCAGGCCATTTCAATGTTATCAGCTCAGAGGTAGCAGTTAACTTGGAAGCAGTGTTCTCGGAAGATGAGATTTGGGCAGCTCTTAAACATTGTGATGGGAACAAGGCCCCCAGTCTAGATGGTTTTAATCTAGCATGCTTGCAAAAGTGTTGGCCTGTTATGAAAAGTGAGATTGTTCAAATGTTTCATGAATTTCACACAAATGCTAAGCTATCATCTGGGATTAATAGTTCCTTCATTGTGTTTATACCTAAGAGGAATAATCCTTCAGGATTGGGAGACTATAGGCCAATTAGCTTGGCCAGCTCCATCTATAAGATCTTGGACAAGGTGTTGTCCAAAAGAATGAAGCAGGTCCTCCTAGCTGTGATTAGTGAGGTTCAGTTAGCTTTTGTCAGTGGTATGCACATATTAGATGGTGTGATGATAGCTAATGAAGCTGTAGATAGGTAGCACAGAGCTAGGAAAAAAGGCATCATCCTGATGTTGGATTTCGAGAAAGACTATGATTTATTAAGCTAGGAATTTTTGCTATCAATGTTGGGTAGTTTCGGCTTTGGTGCTAGGTGGATTAGGTGGATGAAGACTTATATTACAACAACTATGGTGTCTATATTAGTTAATGGTGCACCCACTGAGGAGTTTCAACCACAGAAAGGGTTAAGACAAGGTGACCCTCTATCTCCATTTTTGTTCATTGTAACAGCTGAAGGTCTTAATCTATTGTTGGAAAAGGCTATTGAGAAGGGCTTATTTAAGGGTGCATCAATTGGCTCTAATCAGTTGGGTATTTTTCATCTTCAATTCGCAGATGATAATATCATTTTTTGTGAAGGTGGCATGGAGGAAGTCTTGAATATTAAGAGGGTCTTGAGGTGCTTTGAGGTGATATCTGGTTTAAGAATAAATTTCCACAAAAGTGTGGTTTGTGGGGTGGGCAATCATAAAGACCAAACTAAGAAATTTGCTAAGGTGTTGAATTGTCTGCCTAAGAAACTGCCTCTTAAATTTTTAGGCTTGCCTTTAGGGGCCAATCCAAGAAAAAAGAGTACTTGGTCTCCAGTAGTGGCAAAGTTTCAGAAGAAGCTCTCTTCTTGGAAGAGGAGACTATTGTCTTATGCTGGTAGATTGACTTTGATCAAATCAGCCTTGTCTAATTTGCCTATCTACTTTCTTTCAATCTTTAAAATGCCAAAAAGGGTTGTAAAGTCTATTTCTAAGATTCAAGCCAATTTTCTGTGGGGAGGTTCTGTTACCAGCAGAAAAGTGCACATGGTCAAATGGATGGAGGTCACAAAAAGCAAAAATCAAGAAGGTTTGGGAGTAAGGGACTTAGGTGTGGTAAATGAATGCTTGTTGCTAAAGTGGTGGTAGAGAAATGGCAGTGATGATAAAGTTCTGTGGAAATCAGTGATCTACTCTAGATATGGCGCAATTGGTGGGGGATGGACACCTACATTGAATCAGTCAGTAGGGGTCTCAATGGTTTAGAAGGATATCTCACAGCTTTCTGTGGCAAATCAGCAAATGGGTGAATTTTTTGGTGAACAGGTCAAAATCATAGTTGGCAATAGGAGGAGAATAAAGTTCTGGTATGATCCTTGGTTAGGTAGTAAAGGTTTAAAGGCTGAATTTCCTAGATTGTTCAGTTTATCCACAGAGAATGAGGAATCTTTACAGTAGCTCAGAGCAAAGTTTGGTGCCTCAGGAGGATGACAGCTTAATTTCAGAAGGAATCTCTTAGCTTGAGAAGAAGAGAATTTGCAGAGGCTGTTAGGCATGTTGATCTTATCTCCTAGTCTCAGAGATGGTGTTGAGGACTCTTGCTCTTGGTTAGCAGAGAAGTCAGAGCAGTTTTCAGTTGCCACTGTATGGAGGTGGAGGGCTACAACTAATGGGCATGGTCTGGTAGTCCCAGCAGGGGGGTGGGTGAGTTTGGCCCCTCCAAAGATGCAGCTTTTCTGTTGGTTGGCTTGGCGTGACAGGGTTAAAACCTCATCCTACCTTCAAAGAATTGGGGCTCTTCAATTGAGTACTAGTAATATGTGTGTTTTCTGCCAAGCTGAGATGGAAACTGTTGAACATGTGCTTCTGCTATGTCTTCTGGTGTGGAAGTGATGGTCTCACATGGTAGATTGGTGGGATCAGGTTTGGGCTATTTCAGGTTCTGTAAAAGGCCTACTATAGTGGTGGAATGGTGGCAAGTTCAAACTCAAGTCTTGGGCACTCAAAGTCTGGCAAATTATTCCCTCTATTGTCTTATAGTAAGTATAAAAGTTGAGAAACCAATGCTTATTTAAGGATGCTCTTCCTGACCTCCAAGAACTCTGTGAAAAATTTAAGATGTAGGTAGCTTTATGGTCCAAATGGCACTTGAAGGTGGATTATTCAGTCCGTGACATAGTGTCCAATCTCTACCAAATCAGATTGCAGTGAGAATTCAGTACATCAGAGGTTTGTTGTTCAAAATATGCAGTGGGCTTAGAAATATCTTATTGGCAGCAAGCATGTGCACTAGGTTCAGGTAGGGTGCAGGTCTTTTGTCCAACTTAAATCAGACTAGGTTTTCAATAGTGGGTTTGGTTGGATGGACTTGAGTTGTTGGTAGTTCATCTGGTATGTCACTGCAGGAATTTGCTAGGGGATGAGTTATATTCTGTCTTTGTGTTTTATGGGCTTAACAATGGATTGAGTTCTTGATTGGTGTCATTCTGGCCTACTATTGTTGTGCTGTCCTTCGGCTTATATCTGAGCTTGTGCTTCAGTGTGGTTCTATCTTTCTTTTGCTCAGTTTTTTTTGTTGTCTCTTAATTGAGTGTCTGTGTGATTCTGGTTTACAATTGGAGTGTGGCAGAGCTAAGTTGGTCTGGTTTTGCAGTGCCAAGTATGGTCTGGTGTTGTTGTGCTGTCTTCTGTTCCTTTGTTTTAGTTTTGTTTTCTCCCTCTTTGGTTGGTTTCTCTCCAACCTAGCTGGGTTTTGGGAGGCAAGAGTTGATGCTTTTGGCTCTTGTCTTCCCTCTTTGTTGATGCATTCCAAAATGTCTTTTGTTTTGTTATCATCAATAAAGAATTTTTGGCTGATCAAAATAAATAAATAAATAAACATTATCATAACTGTCCTTCCAACCATGTAACATTTTAAGATAATCACTAGTCTACTTTATTTTATCTATCTTGCCAATTAAATAATGGTCAAAGGATCATACCCTATTCTTACTTCATCTCATGGCATACGTGTTGTACAAGTTATTATAGGGTCATTGTCAGAAATCTTTGTGGCTTATTAAATCTTGGTTTCACAATCAACCATTCTCTATTCTTACTTCCATCGTAATTTGAATATTGCATTTTTGTTGGTGGGAGAGGGACTTCAAACTACTTATGGTAGCTTGAAATAAAATTCAGAGAAATAAATTTGGGAGACAAACAAACAAACTTTATCAATTATTGAAAACAATTACAGAACAAGGTGAGAACTCTCTTTGTCTCTCAAACTCTTACACTCTTTTCTTCTTCTCTCCCACACTCTGAATTCTCAAAATACAATAGCTATATATAGATAAAACTAGTAATGTGAAACCATTAAATGCAGATGCAGTTAAGGCTGTGAATTTCAAACGGTTGCAATCACTGTTGAAAAACTTGATTTCAGCCACCATACTTCTACTCTTAGACTGGTGGAATTTTTTTTATTTTTTATTATTATTATAGGTGAAGCAAGATTACTTCACAACATCCCCCCTTAATCTTGATTCTCCATGTTGTTTCATCCCAAGCATCATCTTCATTCTATTGAACAGATCATTTTTCAATGGCTTCGTGAAAATATCTGCAAGCTGATCTTGAGATTTGCAAGGAAATAATTCCACCTCTTTATTTTTCACATGCTCTCGGATGAAATGATAGCGGGTGCCAATATGCTTACTTCTTTCATGATAAACTGGGTTATTTGCTAATGCAATTGCAGAACGATTATCAACATAGATCTCAGTAGGATTTTTTTGTGGAAATCCAAAATGCTTCAGCACATTTCTTAACCAAATTGCATGGCACACAGTTGAGTTGGCTGCAATATATTCAACTTCGCAAGTTGACAGTGTCACAATAGCTTGCTTCTTAGATGACTAAGTGAACACTGTATTTCCTATAAATAAAACAAACCCAGTAATACTCTTTCGTTCATTTAAGTCACATCCCCAGTCACTATCTGAATAGCCAACAAGACTGAAATTATCAGTTGGTTTATAAAATAAACCATCATCGATTGTACCTTTGATATAGCGAAGAATTCTCTTTGCTATATAAAGGTGTGACTGATCTGGTGTTTCCATATATCTGCTAATCAGTCCTACTCCATAGAGTATGTCTAGCCTGGTGCAAGTAAAATAGCGAAGACTTCCAACTAAGCCCTCAAAATAAGTTAGATCCATATCACCCGTCTTTGTACCTTTTTTTAGCTCCACTCCACTGTCTATAGGAGTGTTCACTGGATTACAATTCTCCATTCCATATCTCTTGAGAATTTCCTTGGCATAGCCACTTTGGGAAATAAAAATTCCATCTTGTCTTTGTGCCACTTCAATGCCAAGAAAATGAGCTATCAATCCAATATGTCATTCCAAATTCTTGGACCATGCTTCTTTTAAATTCTTTGAACATGGTTCGATTGTTTCTAGTGAAAATTAGATCATCAACATAAAGACAAGCAAGCAACATGCTTCCATCAACTTCCTTCTTCAAATATAGTGTGTGCTCATATGGGCATTTTTCAAAACCATTATCATGAAAATACTGATCAATTCTAGTATTCCATGCACGCGGACCTTGCTTCAATCCATAAAGTGCTTTCTTCAATTTGTACACTTTGTCTTCATGCCCATTCTGAACATACCCCAAAGGTTGTTCAATATCGATTTCTTCTTCAAGAAAACCATTAAGAAATGCAGATTTCACATCAAGTTGATTGATCTGCCACTTGTGCT